CTTGCACAGCAGCACCTGTATTCAGCTGCGAAAACTACCCCGACCCTAGACTGCAGACCTTGAAGCCCTGCACCCTAGTCCGCTGCTCTGTTTGTTGTCATGAGTCCCATCCGCATTCTGACCGCCGAATTTGGTTCACGGTTCAGAACTTAGGAGTTAGGGTTACGGAGTTTAGGGTGTAGATGGGTACAAGGTTTAGGTCTTAGGGCTTTGAGGGCGGAGGCCGGACCGCTCAAGGAACAGGTTTCAACAGGGTATCGAGTATTAGCGGCAATTAGAAGCGATTCTTTGAAAAGTTGAGGTTAGTTGATAGATTGGGAGCGGTTGTGGCTAGTAGCTTTATGTGAAGTGGTTTATCGGGTTAGGGGTTTAGGGAAGCTTTGGCTCAGGTTGACAGCCTTCCCTGCAGCCTGGAGCAATATCTGGACATGTACAAATGCATGCTGACGCTGGGCCGAAACCCTGCGCTCTCGCGTCGTGGGTTCGGCTTTGGTGGTTTTCGGGGTTTTCGGTGTGTCTGTTCTGAGGCTTGCGGGCTTGGTCCTTTAGGCTGATTTCGGGTGTTTAGCTATCAGAGCCAGTCGGTGCTTGCCTCCTGGTTCTCTCCCCCCATGGCTTCTGAGGGAGTGCATTGAACACCCAACCCCACATATTCCGCAAGCCCGAAACCCCAAACCACAAACACAACGGCAAAGCTCAAGTGGAGCTCAGGAAAGTCTCTGTGGTGGATCAGGTCATGAACTCCCTGCAGCGACAGGCACACTGGGAAAAAGCTTGCCGGTATGGACCTACCAGAGAAAACAGGGTAGAGAGTATAGTATAGGGTTTGCCTTTGAGGGTTTAGGTAAACTTTAACCCCCCGAAACCTCAAAATCCTAAATCCGAAACCGTTCTAACCCCAAAAACCCCAAAGCCCCAAAACCCCAAACCTCAACGCCTAAAAACCCTAAACGCTGACGGTCTCAACCCCAACGTTGAGGAAGCCTTGGCTTGATTGGGTGATCCTACTGCATAGCGAGGCATGTTTAAGGTTTAGGGTTAGGATTTAGGGTTCAGGGTTTACGGTTTTGGTTTGGGGTTTAGGGTTTAGGATTTAGGGTTTAGGGTTTTGGTTTAAGGTTTAGGGTTCAGGATTTAGGCCACCATTTGCCGAACTTCGTCGCGTAGAGCTCATTCAGGCTATCTTTGTACCTTTGTGAAGAGCATGATGAACAAAGCGGAATGAAGCCCATCCGCAAAAATGACCCATGTACGACATCATCGGTGGCATTCAAATCAGTTTGGACTTGTCAAGTGCGCTCGACAAAGTTCCTTGCAGACAAATTGATGCCGCCCTTGAACTTGCTGAGGTTCCAAAGGACCTTCGCACTCTTGTTATGTCGTGGCTGGAGGAGTCCACTCACTCAGTGAGAGTAGGAGATCACGCTGGCACGATCGACGTCCGAAGGGGCGTGAAACAAGGTTGCCGGGCTTCTCCGACTCTAAATCTTGGATTTACCGCCTTGTTTTGTCACAAGCTTGACATTGCGCTTGCACAGGGCTGGAGCAGTCGTCATCTCACGATCTTCGCAGATGACACTCACTGTGCGTGGCTGGTTCCTTCCGTCAGTGACCTCCAGCATGCTTTGCAGCACTACTATTTGCTTAAGAAACCCCCAAAAAATAATAATCCCTATATTACCACCATAAGGAATATATTTTTTATTTTGTGGGGGTTCTTAAGCAAATAGTAGAGCACTTGTCAAAGGTCATGCAGACTTTCTCTGACATGGGAATGGAGCTCAGCGACTCTAAGAACCTGGTCAGACAACTACCCCTAAACCCCTCAACCCCCAGACCCCTAAGCCCCTAAACCCCTAAACACCTGAGCCCTAAACCCTAAACCCTGCAGGGTGGAAAAAGGTGCCTTAAAAGAAATCCTTAACCCGAAACCGCTAAACCCTAAACCCCTGAACTCCTAGACCCTAAATCCCTAGACCCATAAGACCCTTTTAAGAAATCCTAACACTAAACTCCCTAAACCCTAAACTCCCCAAACTGCTAAACCGCAGGGCCGGATCTCCAACCTTATAACCTCGCTTATAAATATAGAACCCTTTAAAGGAACCCTATAGCCCCACTTATAACGACCCATGAACCTCCAAGCAGGGCCGGATCTCCTTCTACATGACCGGCCTCGGGGAGGAAGCAGCGCAGGCTCGGGGTTTAGGGGTTTGGGGACGTTTATAAGGCTCTAGAGTTCAGGGTTTAGGGTGGAGAGTTTAGAGTCTATAGGGTTTAGGGTTTAGAGTTCAGGGTTTAGGTTTTACAGTCTATAGGGTTTAGGGTTTAGAGTTCAGGGTTTAGGGTTTGGAGTTTAAGTTTAGGGTGTCGAGTTTTGAGTTTAGGGTTTAGACTCTAGAGTTTAGGGTTTAGGGTGTTGGGCGAAAGGCTCAGGGTTCTGCGCTCTGGGGTTTTTCGGTTTTTACACCACACTAGACTCTAAACATACGATAATCATAATCCGGAACCCAGGAAATAGTATAGGTAACTACTAAGGCCCCTGTACAAGACCTTCGTATTACCCCTTATAGTAATCCTTATCGGCCCCGTTGAGGGGAACCCTTAAAGGACCCACCGATGTAGTATAGGCAAACATTAAGGTCCCTAGACGAGACTCTACACCTTTGCCTTCGCAGTGCTAGGTGGGGCCTGCTGCGGCGCTTCACAAGGACCCTTGCTTTTATTTTTGGGCTCTTAAGGGTTTAGGGAATTAGGGTTGAGGGTTTGGGGTTTAGGGGACTAGGGCTTCAGGGTTGAAGGCCTGTTGTTTAGGGTTTAGGGAATTTGGGGTTTCGGGGATGTTGGGGTGTAGATCTTCGGGCGAGGGTTGAGAGCTTAGCTTTTAATTCGCATTCAGGGTTTAATTGGGGTTTTTGGCGTTTGGGGATTTGAGTACTTCTTCCGGTGTCATTGTGAGCTTGGCAGGCTTGGGACATCCTTGATTGCAGATCGCTAAATAGTAAGGTCGAGTTAAGAGCCCGGATAAGAATCTAGCCAGGGGTCTTTCTGGACCAAGCGACTTGAAGGTAGAAGAAGAACAGCTGTATATGAGCGAACAGGCGGCAGCAGCAGATACAGCCGCAGCTGCTTCGAAAGCAGCGACAGCAGCAGCAGCAGCAGCAGCAGCAGCAGCAGCAGCAGCAGCAGCAGCAGCAGCAGCAGCAGCAGCAGCTGGAACGAGCCAGCCACGGCAGCCGCAACAACCAGTCGGACCACGACGGCAGCGGCAATACCAGCAATCATCATAGTATCAGCAGGTTTCTTGATTGTTCAGGTTGTACGTGTCCGGCATGACTGCTCAAGCCATTGTTCTATTGCCATAGACGCTTGAAGCATCGTGCACGCTTGTCCTTCAGTATTCCCGAATGAGCCCATGCGTTCAGGCTTTAGCCTCAAGAGATCTGTGGTAAACAGGACGACGTGATCTGGGCCCAGTACAGGGAGCTCGGCACCTTCATGCGCCTTGGTTGCCGTTGGGCGGAGTCAAGAGGAACCTAGCTAATGGCTTTTGCAGGGAGCAGACGAGAGCTTGAGGAACTACGTACTGCTTGGGATGTAGAGGTCGAGTGGGCAATTTTCAGCTTCAAGAGGTTTCAATCTGGTGGTAGCTGATACTTCAATTTTCAGAGCTTCAGTTCTGGATTTCGCATTGCAGCCAGAAAGTCTCAAAGCCGAGTGTTGCTGGCGTCAGACCAAGAGCTGCCTGGCGCAGACAGCGGTGTGAAAGAGGTGCAGGAGGGCTCGTTGGTCTGAGGATGGGGCAATCAAGGAGAATTCCTAAACGCGAAACCCTGAACCCTAACCCTACTTGGAGGGTCGCTTCGGTTAGTAAATGATTAGACCGGTTGATGCAGGTAGCTTAAGTGTTGTAAGTCCAGTTAGTAAATGGCATAAGTCGACTTAGTAAGTCCATGAAGTCATGTAATTGGTGTGCTAAATGGTTATATGGTTTAGTAAGTGGTTAGATTTCAATTAGATTTGGGGATAAGTAGTTATGTAGTTATGTAAGTGTTTGTTGGTGGTTATCCTAAATCCACCTAAGCACTTATCTGACTTAGCCGGTAGAGACTTAAATGAGTTAGTTTAACGAGTGTAAGTAGTTAGGTGGCTTGCTGTAAGTGAGATAGTGTACTTAGACTAAGTCCACTTAACCCACTTAGACTAAGTCCACTTAACCCACTTAGGCATGGCATGCAAATGTTGAAAACGTTACCAAAAGTAAGAGCACCCATACAGGCCAACACAGTTTAAAATAATTTGACCCCCCATGCCTATATGTTCATAATACTTTTTACAACATATGTAGCGGCACCCGGACCCCTTTTTATTGTTGGTCCTCCTCCTATATACATGTATATAAACAAGTTTCCCAAACCAACGGAACCATCCCCTCCTTTGTCCGCCTCGCTGCCGGGCTGGCCTCTTCAGCTGGCATCCGAAGAGGCCGGCTCTCTTTCTCCAGGGGTTTCTGTTTTTGAAGGGCTTCAATATAGAATTCTGCAACAATGCAGATGTATTTCAAGTGTTGCTAGTTTTTTTCTGGGGTGGTAGTTTTGGGAGGGTTTTGCGTGAAAGTGCCAGTAGGCTTCCGAGGAAGCATCCTTGCAACTGGCCTTGCAATTGATCTATATATATATATATAGATATATTGGTATTGGCTCGTTTTTTGTCCTGTATACGCATATATATAGAGTCTCATGATTCAGGAAGTTTCTGGTTTGTTAATTGCTACATTTTTTGTTTGCCCTGACATGTGTGCTGGGTCATTTGTTTCCTGTGTTTGGCTACCCGTTTGGCTTGGGTTGGGGAACGATGGATCAAGTCCGGCTCATTCTTCATACAATATATTCGACTTTGCAGGGCGAGGTCTCGCGAAGTCTGATCCTGCAGGGCTTTGCTCGCAGGATTCATAGCTTGAACTCGTGTGCTCCCGGCCTTGCTTGAAGCAGAGCTACAGCATGGCTTCTCTTAGCACGGAGGTGCGAGCAGTGATCTCCGGCTTCTTGTCGAAAGCGAAGGAAGGCACTCTTGTGCAGAGTGTGAACGCCCTCCACGACTACCTGCTCCAGCAGAAGCTGGCCTGGCGTCTTAAATTGGGCTGTGATTTTATAGGTGTGCATCCTGAAAATAGGGATGGCATGGGCATCTCGGCCTCTCATGTGCATGACCTCATCAGCAGTATTGCCGGAATCGGCTTCAGCTCGGCAGAGAGCAGAGCCGTGTGTGTGGAGATTCCGACAGATTCGCGAGGCACTGCTTGCCGAGAGTTCAATGCTCGGTTGTGTGAAGAGGCGAAAGGCAAACTTGCGCCTGTAAACCCAGCCTTGCTGAAGTACGCCTCCATCGTTGGCAGCCATGCCAACCAGGCTGCCAGAGCCTTCTATCATGGAATCGCTCACGAGAACCCGAAAGTGAGCATTGACGGTCGCCTGAGCTTGGAGAAGCTGAGCATGTTGGACCCTGCCTGGTGCTCCAGCATTCGGGATTGCATAGACTGGATGATTGTGTCCTTCGAGGTGACTGAGGCGTTTCCTGAATACGTGGGCCTGGCACAGTCGGCTGGCAATGCCGCAGGCCAAATCGCTTCACGGGAAGGCGAGCTGCAACTGGCTCGGAAAGTCAATCAGGCCATCTCCGAGCACATGGCCCGCAGTGGCAAGGACACCGTGTGTTACTCGGATGTCGCACCTTCCATCCTCAGAAGCAAGCCGCCCTCGGGCAGCTCGCTCCCGGGCATCTTCACCTTCGTCCTCCGCTACGGTGGCGGAGAAGCCCCAGATTCCTTTCTCAGAAAAACTGAGAGCCACATTCGGGCCCATGGCTATGCTTCCCGCTGTCTGGGAGCTGACTTTTGGCAGGGCATGAGCACGGAGATGAAAGGGACGACCAATCAACGAGTCCTGTGGCGCCACATGGTCCTCAAGCTTGCTTACTGTGGCCCCGAGAAGATTCTGAACCTCGCCGACATCCGACGGGCCGTCTCCGCCAAGGACATCCTCACCAAGGCAGACGAAGCGGAGAAGTTGTCCATCCGCATGCACCAGTTGCTGAGTTCCGATGGACGATTGACTCCTGAGGTCTTGGCGGCGACGAGAGCCGAGGTGGAGATGGAATTTGTGGCGGCGATCTTCGCGAAAATGAAGTACACCCCGAGGACTTCGCTCGAGCAGGTGTGTCACGAGTGCCTGCAAGGACTAGGCATTCCGTCGCCCTTTGCACCTCCCCCCGCAACCACGTCCCAAGCGAGCTCACCCGGCAAGGATGCTTCCCCCGGTTCGTACATTGCCTGCAAGGAGAGTTGGGATATTCCCAGGGTCGGTTTGTTTTCATAGATATAGTTTGCTGTGATCTTTTTTTAAAGTATCATTTCCTGACACCTTGATAAACCATTCTTTTTTAGTATGCCTCTTCCGAGGCTATAAACTCCTGATGTCGATTCTTTTTTAGTATACGGGCCTGTCCCCATGCATAGACAGTCTTGATACAAGCAAACTTTTGCTACACAAAACCGCTTCCCACACATAAAAACTTGATAACCCATTCTTTTTTAGTAAACAATCGCTTCCCAGGCATAAACCCTTGATAAGCGCTTATAAATTCTCTTTTAGCCCAGGCATAAAACCTTGATAAGCCATTCATTTTTAGTAAACAATCGCTTCCCAAGCATAGAAACTGCGATAAGCCATTCGTTTTTAGCAAACAATCGCTTCCCAAGCATCAAAACCTTGATAAGCCATTCTTTTTTAGTAAACAATCGCCGGCAGGCATAAAGCCTTCATAAGCCCTTATTCTGTTTTAGCCCAAGCATAAAACCTTGATAAGCCATTCTATGTTAGTAAGCAGTCGCTTCTTAGGCCTAAAGCCTTGGTAAACCTTTCTTTTTACTATGGATGCAACCTCTTTCCAAACCTGTATACTTGATAAACATTTTCCTTTGAGGGCCCAAGTTCAACCCAAGCATATATATTCTTCATAAGCCATTATCTTTTAGTACCCGATCTCTCCCCGAAACCCAGGCTTGATATGCCAAGTGTTCATAAGACACGATCGTTTATCAACCATATAACGTCTTCCCAAACCATAAACTAGTATTCCCCAGCGATAAATGTTCCATAAATAAGATTGCTTTAGTACTTCTGTATAATTACATATAAGGACATTCTTCATAGGTATCCAAGCTCATCAAAACCATCAAGTATTTATAGTTTGTACGTTATAACTTTATGATAGAAGCTATCTTGATCGGGGAGTCGTTTGATTATAATCACATGCAATGTTGTGTAAAAGCAAGACCTGTTTTACAGCAGGTGTAGATATTTCATATATATATATATATATATGTATATATGTAAATATATACATGTATATATATATATATATATATATATATTATCTATAATATTACATAAGCAAGATATATCTATATCTGTATGTATATATATGTTTCTATATATATATATATATGTACTTTCGTGTGTATACAAATCTGATAACATTCCAGGGCCCTGCGGAAGTACGATGGTGCTGGGGCACCGGTGAACAATGCTCGAGTCGTCGAGCTGGGCTTCGATAAGGGGGTGCAGGTTATCCGAAAGGCGGACGACGTGGTCGCCGTGGTGGAGGAGATCCAGCCGGACAAGGTCACACTGAGGCTCGAGGATGGGTCGCTGGTCAAGAGCTCGACCACTGCCTTCATCCAGGGCAAGTGGAAGAAACACACGGAGAAGAGCCAGCCCACGGAGGTGGAACAGTGGTGGGAGTCGTCGCCGTCTGCATCGCCAGACTTCCTGAGCTCCGTGGTGAAGGGACGAGTCATTTGGGCCATGCACCAGCAGTACGAGGCATTCAAACACGAGAAGTCATTGCAGATCTTCTCCAAGCCCAAGGATGTGAAGTCGCTCAAGGCATTTGCGGCAGCGTCTCGACAAGCTGAATGCAACGATTCAGCTCCCCGTCATCAAAAACTTCCGTCGCATCGAGGCCGAGGATCAGTTGATCGTCTACCGGCCAGAGTTGGCCAAATCGGACGACGTCGAGCCGCTGCTGCCCGTGGCCGGTCCAAAGAAGAAGGCTAGGACCAGCTGAGCCTCCCATGCAGGCTGCGACTTTACAGGTCCATGCACCGTGGGAGCCCATGGTGATTTTGTGAAGGATCGTGGATATCGGCATACATAGACATATGTGTATACATACATGTATATATACCTATACATATGTTTATATACACTGTTACAAAATATATATTAAATATATATTACATGTATACATGTACATATATATATATATGCACATATCTTTGAATGTATCCTTTTACAAAAGAGAAAGCCTGTAAGATTGATTATACAGATGAATGGCTCGAGAATGTTCTTTGCCGGAAACCATGAGATTCTACCCAAAACAAACGGCACATGTCTATATAAGTATGTGCCTTGGGATATAGTGTACTATAGTAGTTTGTTATATGTTCTTATGTGTATATATATATATATACACATTTCTACACATGCACCTTTGCGATAAAGGCAATGAAAGAGATGACTGCATCATGAAGTGTCCGTGAGAGGGGTGTTCGTGGCACCCGTTTTTGCATTGATTGTGTGGAGCCGCATCGTGCGAGGCTTGTCAGGTTCCAAAATGAATTGTGTTGCCAGCTCATATGGGGATGCAGGATGTGTGTGGCTGCATGACGTGGCATGTTGTAGAGCATCCGTGCTTTTTCCTGTGTGTGCCTCCTTCATGGCTGAGTCAGAGGACGTACATAGCAATCTGAAGCTTGCAGGGCCGTGCTCGCAAGCTCGTGTCAGCAGGGCTCAGCTCGCGACACCATGGATGATGATGGGGAGCAGTTGGCTCCTGGAGACGAGCCCAAGGCTTCGGATGATGAGCAGGAACCGGTGACCATCGTGAAAGCCACGGTCATCAAGGGAGGACACCTCAAGAAGCAACCGTGGCTGCCAGATTTGCAGCTGGTCGGTGGTGTCGAGTACATAAAGCTTCACAAATGGTGTCGAGACTTAACCCTTTTTGTGACGGGCACTGCACTGAACTTCGCTGCCACATCCAAACGTCCGGTTCACAACATCAATGTCCAGTGGTTCGAAGACATGAAGAAGAAGCGGCAGGAAGCTTGCGATGCGGCCGTGAGAAAGGTCATCACGGAGGCAGCCGAGGCGGAGGGTAAACCTCTGCCCAAGAGAATCAGGCAGGCCCGAGAGGAGGACCAATTCCTCATTGGCAAGACGGTGACCATTTTTTGCCCGGAGATTCGCAACAACGAGGATGAGGTCCACATAAAAACATAAAGAGCCCCGAATCTAACTTATCTCACCCTAAAATGGTTGAGTGCACGGTCTAGCTCCTTGATGCACCCTTGCGGTTTGGTCAGGTTTGAACTAGGTACATATAATGTATAGTTATATTTATAGCGACCCTCTAACAGGTCTTGCAGGCACCCAAGGAAATCCAGTTTCTCTGGGGCACGAAGAGTGACCTGTTTATGGAGTTGAATGCCGACAACCTCGACTATATTCGTGCGGCCATCAAGGAGTCCACCCCTTTCGTCCAGCAGATCAGCTCCAAGAGGGCCAAGGCCACACAGGGGAGCCCGAAGCGAATGAGGAAGCGGGGTAGAAAGCCAAAGGCTCATGATGTAGCACCCGAAGCAGCCCTCGCTAACGAGGAGTGTGCCCCCCACTCCGGGGATGACGATGATGAGTAACGATGACGAGCCGGGACACGATGAAAAATGTTGCCATTGATTCTTTTATTGTTGGTGGCATGGTGTGTGACCTGTTTCTGTTCACGGGGCTTGCTTTGAAAGACTTTCATTATGAGGGTTCGAGAATAGTTCTGTGTGCAGGGGTCTATGGTATAGAGTTGACATGCAAAGGACCAAGCTCTGTATTATGTTAGAAATTGCATCGGTAAGCCTCCGAGCCTCTCCCGTTTTTAGAGAATCGCTTTCTTAATGGCAATCATGCAAAGTCTTCCTCTCTGTATCTGTACATGTAGAGAGCGACCATATCTAGGCCCGAGTATAGACCACACTATGCCTATACCTTTGCATGGCCGTTCTTTGCTGTAGGATTGCAGGTTGCAGCTGTCATGCATGCATGTTCTGAACACGTCTGCACAAGTTCTGCATGTGCACCTGAGTGCAGGAGTCAGTCTGGTAGGACTCGATTGCATGAGGAACTTGGGTGTCGCGGTGGCCGTTTCTTGCACGAGGATTTGAGGGCCAAGTTAGCTTGGGCTTTTTATCGGAGCCATCATGTCTCAGCAGAAGAGGCATCGCGAGTTTGATGAGGAAGATGTTGTGAAGGAGGAGAGCATGCAGGAGCCGCCGTTCGGGGTGGAGGACGTGTACTGGACCTTCGACGATTTCTCGGAGTACCAGGATGATGACTACAATATGGTCCAGAAGGAGGAGGAATTCGTATCGGTGGCGGTTCCTGCAGCAGAGTACTCAGTGGAGCCGGCTGGGGTCGATCGCCCAGGGGGAGGCATGGATGATCGCCAGCAGTCGGGCGGTGGCCACGTGGACGGTCGCCAATGGGGTGGCGGCTACGGGCATGATCGTTGGGGCGGCTATGGCGGTGGAAACCATGGCTACCCGAAGTACCAAGGTGGCTGGAAAGGTTTCGCAAAGGGCCGCTCGGGCTTCCAGCAGGGGTACAAGGGCTACAAAGGGTATGGCGGCTACAGCTATAACAACCGCTGGCCCTCTTGGAGCTGGAACAAGAAGTCGAAGAAGGAGCAGCAGCAGTCCTCGTCGTCTTCCGGGGCACGGACGTCGGCTACTACGGCTATAGGCCAAAAGGACGGCGGCCCCAAAGGCGAGTACGACGTGAACGGCGGCCACAAAGGCGAGTACGTGAAGGGCGGCCACAAAGGCGAGTACGTGGACGGCGGCCAGAAAGGCGAGTACGTGGACGGCGGCCACAAAGGCGAGTACGTGGACGGCGGCTGGGTCTCGCCGAAAGGCGAGTTCTTGACGAGACTCAGCACGATGTTTATTTTGGTTTGGAGATATTGATAAGAGATATAGGGTTTGTTATTTATGTGACAAGCCGACTCGAAACCTAAGTTATGAGCCCCATGTGTGTAGAAATACCTAGATATAGAAAAATGGATAAATAGATCGGTATATATGTATATATGTATATGTATATATAGATATATACAAGCTCTACATGGGTCTTGGATATGTGAGCATCTACATAGACCTATGTATCCCCTATATATACATAATGTAGGCCCAAAAACCTCTGCAAGTTCACATTGGGTGTTGTACATTCATGTACACTCATCAACCCAGGTCGGGGCAAGGCCGAGATCGCCCGCGAAATCGAGCCGGTGCCAAGGTGCAGCAGAAGCGAGAGACCCAGAATATCCGCCAGAGCAACAAGGCACTCATCGAGACCACAGAAGTGTACCAGCAGCACATGGGACAGGCTCTCGATACGATGTCCAGGCTGGCCCGCATGCTAGAGCAAGACAGGTCGTGAGGGGGCATGCAAAGTGCAACATAAAGGCATTCAGGTCGTCCCTTGGAGCTATAGTGTAGCCACAAGAGTACGAGTTTGCGGTTTAGCATTTAGGGTTAAGGGTTTAGTATTTTCCATTGCAAGGCGAAACATAAGTTTCCTATATAGAAGCCTGACACCCCTTATACCCTACTATAGAACTTGAACCCTATATAGAAACCTATATATAGACCTTACAATTAAACCCTTGATGCGACACCAAGCCTATATGTCCGAACCCACATAGAAACCTTATAACTGTAAACTTTAGAAAGCCACTTTCCTTTTTCCGTGGAAATAGGAATAGGTAAGTTTCTAGTAGAATTGTACCTCCTTTTAATTAAAGGTGGACCCAAACCCCTTGGGTTTCCCCCCTTTTGCCCGACCCCGTGTAGATCCTCCACATGTATGTAGACTCAGTATATAGACTCCACACGTGACATCTTGGCTTTTCCTGATGTATGCACCCAAGCGACGTGTCTTTTCAGAGTGTCTGCAGCTGGATTTCTGATGGCCTGTGGGGAGATCAGCAGCAGCTTCATCGTTCATCGTGATTCATAATAAGAAATGTAACAAGTCTTGAGGCTTGATGCTGCAAGCTCCCCCTGTCATATAATCGGTGATGGGTCTCTCCGTAGCTTTGCATCCGCTGGGCAAACCTTGTGGTGCCGAAACAGATAAAGCCCAGCAGTCATAACCCCAGCCTGAAACACTTCAACCCCAAACTGACTAAGCCTGCAGTCGTAAACCTCACGATTATATGTTAATCACAGAAACAAACTGTAGCACGTGTGGTGGCTGCTGCAATCTGTTCCGGTACACCGGCTCGAAGCAGGGGCAGCCATGCTGCATGCAGGTCCGCGGGGATCGACCCGTGCACCCTGCTCGTGGCTGCAGGGCAAAGAGGTATAGTCGGGGTCGTACATGTGCAAGGTTCCAGATATACAGCCTCTTATTTTTAAGGCAGCCTCTCGAAAAGGGAATATGAGACCGGCATAGGATCGGTCGCACATGTCACCAACAAGCAGTTGTGTACAGGGGCCTTGCATCGCCGGAGATTCTGTTGTATAGGTGGGTTGTACTGGGTGTGATGTATATTTACGTATGTAGATCTATACATATATATATATATATGTACACTGAGCATGAGTTTTGTGTTGGCGGGTACAATATATTCATAGAAAGCTATGGTGGGCGAATGCAAGGCCCGGGCTTCTGCTCAACCAGCTTGCACTAGTTCGAACTGAAGAGTGGAAAGGTGTTCAGACCGTCATGCAGTTGTCCGTTTGTGTAGGGCATGCAGGTACAGGAGGCATGTTCTAGTCAACAGGCAGGCAGACAGTCGCGAGGGTTTTGTGTGTGTGTGTGTGTGTGTGCTGTGTGTTGGTGTCTTGTGCTGGTGTGTGTGTGTGTGTGTTGTGCTGGTGTGTGTTGTGCTGGTGTGTGTTGTGCTTGGTGTGTGTGGCTGTGGGTGTTTTCTGCTTGTGTGTGTTGGTTTCTGTATGTGTGTGTGTGTGTGTCTGTGTTGTGCTTGTGCGTGTGTGTGTGGGTTTGTTGTCCGGTGTGTGTTGTGCTGGTGTGTTGTGCTGGTGTGGGTGTGGGTCTGGCTGTGGGTGTGGGTCTGGCTGTGGGTGTGGGTGTGGGTGTGCCTGTGTGTGTGTGTGTGTGTGTGTGTGCCTCTGTGTGTGTGTGCCAGCAGCCTGCAACATGTCACAGAAGTGCAGTCCTTGAGGGTCGTGCTGTGCAACATGTCAGAGTTTGGATGTGCAGCTGTCATGCAGTGCATGTTGCAAAGGCATGATTTTTTCCGCCGAACCCCCCCCCCCCCAAGCCACCAACACAACTGTGATCGGTCAGCCTTTAGGAATTCTCAGGTTTCGCAATCTGAGCAAAACATAGGGAGGGGTGCGAAAAACAACAACCGAGCAATCGCCCAAAACACAGGTTCGCGAGGTTTCGGTGCCCCGGGGCAGAAAAATCTTGAAAAAAATTCGGCGAGAGTTTCCCCAGGGGGGTACCCCACCTGGTTGTGTTGGAAGAACGATATATATGCAGATTTCTCTTTCGATAAAGTTCCGGCCGGGAACTTTATGGATCCATAAAGTTTCGGGGCCAAAGTTTATCGAACAATAAACTTCTCAGGCCTGGGAATTGGAAACCATTTAGAACGATAAAGTTTCAGATCGGAACTTTATCGAAGGATAAAGTTTGCCTAGAAAACTTTATCTTTCGAAAACGCTGCCTGGCTGATCGTGGCTGGGTGTGCCCACGACACCAACAACTTTATAGCTGTGAAACCCAGGGCGGTAAGCTCTCGAGAAGCCGTGGACCAATGGTCCGGAGGCATGTCCTGTGTCAGTTGAGCAGTGCATGTGCATAGGCAGTGCATGTTGTGACCTTTGCCGTTCTGCTTTGATGGACTGCTTGCATGGGGGTTTGAGAGGGTTGGGGCCTGCTGTGAGGCCGGAGGACAGCATGGCGATTTGGGTGGGGAGCACGAACACGGGACGGGGAGGGGCAGTGCTTCTGCCTTACAATATGGTGTGCCAATGAGCAGGAGTGCCTTTTCAAGTGCATGCAAACTAGCAGCAGCACCGCCTCCACCACCGCGAGCAGCATCACCAGCACTGCCACCGCCACCACCACGAACCCCTAAACCCTAAACCCTAAACCCAAAAAATCCTAAACTCTGCAAACCTTAAACTGAACACCACCGCCGCCACCAGCAAGAGAAACAGACGTGCTTGTGCAGTCCAGTTGCAATAGTACAGTATACATAGTATAGTAGTAGTGGTATAAGAAGACTATAGTGGTATATAGTACACAGAAGCACCAGCAGCACGGGCAGCACAACAGCGGCAGTGCAGAGCAATGCGGCGGAGGCAGCGGCAGCAGCAGTATAGGTATTATATCGTTGGCTGCGGATAGAAGGGTATATCTGGAGGAGGTAGCAGCGATAATAGTTTGTCTGTGGTCTGTAGTATACGTATAGTAGTGTAGTAGTAGTAGTAGTAGTAGTAGTAGTAGTAGTAGTAGTAGTAGTAGTAGTAGTAGTAGTAGTAGTAGTAGTAGTAGTAGTAGTAGTAGTAGTAGTAGTAGTAGTAGTAGTAGTAGTAGTAGTAGTATAGTAGTAGTAGTAGTAGTAGTAGTAGTAGTAGTAGTAGTAGTAGTAGTAGTAGTAGTAGTAGTAGTAGTAGTAGTAGTAGTAGTAGTAGTAGTAGTATAGTAGTAGTAGTAGTAGTAGTACTACTACTACTACTACTACTACTACTACTACTACTACTACTACTACTATTACACCACCAGCACCAGCAGCACAGGCACCATGACAGCGGCAGTGCAGAGCAATGCAGCGGAGGCAGCGGCAGCAGCAGTATAGGTATCATATCGTTGGCTGCGGATAGAAGGGTATATCTGGAGGAGGTAGCAGCTATAAAATTTTGTCTGTGTAGTCTATAGTATACAAAGTATACTATAGTAGTAGTAGTAGTAGTAGTAGTAGTAGTAGTAGTAGTAGTAGTAGTAGTAGTAGTAGTAGTAGTAGTAGTAGTAGTACTAGTAGTTGTAGTAGTAGTAGTAGCAGCAGTAGTAGTAGTTGTAGTAGTACTAACTACTACTACTACTACTACTACTACTACTACTACTACTACTACTACTACTACTACTACTACTACTACTACTATACTACTATACCTGCTGCACTCTCTCCCTCTCTTTCGATCTCTGTTTTCTTTTTGGAACGAGGAACATGCTTTGCAGTCGGTTGCACGAATGGCAGGGCTGTTGCTCCGGAGCCAGAAACAACAAACAGTGATGAGTTCTGCTTGCCTCAAAATGAGTTCGCTGTAGCTCTTTGGTGTCAAGCACAACTCTCGGTGGTCGTAGCCTTTCGCTGTGGTCATGACGGGCCGCCCTTTCGATCCGGAAATCTTCGTGAACACTCAAGTGATCATCGATGGCCGTGACACTTGCCTCATGACCTCCAGGGGTCGTGCCACTCTCAGCCACATCTTGAACATGGCCGCTTCGACATGTGAGGGTGAGAACGGGTATCCTGGCTACTTAGTGCGAGGATTGACCATCCGTTTGGAAACCAACGGAGTGCGGCCCAGCTATGATACCACTTTGGAAGAGCAGAGCTTGCAAAACATGAGACGGGTTCTCATGCACGTGCGGCAGGGACGTTTTGCCAAGTCCTTTGCTAAACGGCGAAGGCAGCAAGCCGTGTGATCATGCCTGCAGAAGCAGGGCCTTGACCGAAGCTTCAGTCGACCAGTTCCGTTTGCCAAACAGCCGGGTTCCAGCTTGTGCACGGTCTTGCGTGTACAGTAGCAGTTTTGTAGTGACGGTATATCTATATAGTACTATATACCAGTACTAGCAGTAGTAGTAGTAGTAGTAGTAGTAGTAGTAGTAGTAGTAGTAGTAGTAGTAGTAGTAGTAGTAGTAGTAGTAGTAGTAGTAGTAGTAGTAGTAGTAGTAGTAGTAGTAGTAGTAGTAGTAGTAGTAGTAGTAGTAGTAGTAGTAGTAGTAGTAGTAGTAGTAGTAGTAGTAGTAGTAGTAGTAGTAGTAGTAGTAGTAGTAGTAGTAGTAGTAGTAGTAGTAGTAGTAGTAGTAGTAGTAGTAGTAGTAGTAGTAGTAGTAGTAGTATAGTAGTAGTAGTAGTAGTAGTAGTAGTAGTAGTAGTAGTAGTAGTAGTAGTAGTAGTAGTAGTAGTAGTAGTAGTAGTAGTAGTAGTAGTAGTAGTAGTAGTATAGTAGTAGTAGTAGTAGTACTACTACTACTAGTACACTACTACTACTACTACTACTACTACTACTACTACTACTACTACTACTACTACTACTACTACACCACCAGCATCAGCAGCACAGGCAGCATGACAGCGGCAGTGCAGAGCAATGCGGCGGAGGCAGCGGCAGCAGCAGTATAGGTATCATATCGTTGGCTGCGGATAGAAGGGTATATCTGGAGGAGGTAGCAGCTATAGTCGTTTGTCTGTAGTCTATATATAGTATACGTAGTAGTAGTAGCAGCAGAAGTAGTAGTAGTACGTATAGTAGTAGTAGTAGTAGTAGTAGTAGTAGTAGTAGTAGTAGTAGTAGTAGTAGTAGTAGTAGTAGTAGTAGTAGTAGTAGTAGTAGTAGTAGTAGTAGTAGTAGTAGTAGTAGTAGTAGTAGTAGTAGTAGTAGTAGTAGTAGTAGTAGTTTAGTAGTAGTAGTAGTAGTAGTAGTAGTAGTAGTAGTAGTAGTAGTAGTAGTAGTAGTAGTAGTAGTAGTAGTAGTAGTAGTAGTAGTATAGTAGTAGTAGTAGTAGTAGTAGTAGTAGTAGTAGTAGTAGTAGTAGTAGTAGTAGTAGTAGTAGTAGTAGTAGTAGTAGTAGTAGTAGTAGTAGTAGTAGTAGTAGTAGTAGTAGTAGTAGTAGTAGTAGTAGTAGTAGTACTAGTATAGCAGACTATAGTAGTATAGTCGTGTAGTATACATGAGCAGTTGTAGTATGGGTGCAGTGGTCGAAATATGTGTAGCAGCAGTTGGATTGGTATGTGGTATTGTGCAGCAACGTTCCATTGCAGTGCTTTTCATGTGGATGCAGGGCTGTGCTCGCATCTACTATACCCGCAGGGCTTGTGCTCGCGAGTATCCACGAGATTGTGTTCTCTAGCTTTTGCGACAGTGTGCCATGGCCACTTGCAAGCAGCTCCTCTCGGACCTGCAGCACCTGGGCAGCTTCCTGAACTCGCAGAAGGCCAATGTCTCGAAGGAGATGTGGCAGGGAATGGTGCAAAGCCAGCTTGACTCGTGGCGAAGTCGTTTGGAAAATGTGAAGAAGCTCACCACGGAGGAAGCAACAGAGCTCGCCCAGGCCGTGACCGCGAGCCCCCTTCCCGACGATGCGAAGCAAAACCTCTCCCAGGTCTTGTCGGAGGCATTGAGCCGTTCGATGCAGAGCCCGAAGAAGAAGAATGAAAATCAAGAAGTGCCTCATTTCAGGAACTACTTGAGCCAGAATGATCGGTTGGTGCTGCAAGACAGCACCAAGACCACCCTGGAGAAGATCGACATCTTGGTTACCCGTTGCCTGAAGATAGGGTTGCACTGGCCAACAGAAGATTCGGTCGGTCACATCATCTCAGCAGGCATTGCGGCGGGGCTGGAAGGTGGCGACCGTAAGGACTACTACCAGAGAGTGAGCAAGTTCAAGCAGGTGCTCCACAAGAAACGTGCAGGCCTGACCCCGGCATGCACCCTCAAGAATTACCCGGACAGTCCCGTGGGCCTGCCGACGGCACTCCAGGCCTCCTATAACGACGATCCGGCGGTGGCAGAGGTGGACTGGGCCGCTTTTCAAAAAGCGGAAGCCAGCAAAACCCTCCGGAAAAGCCACCTCGCGATCACGGGCTCAGCGAGCTCGTCGGGGGCATCGGGATCGGGTCTGGCACTCATGGCGGGTGCTGCAGGCACCCATGGCTTTCCGGGCCTGCAAGATCCAGCCTTGCAGCAAGGCCTTCAGCTCATGGGCCGCATGTTTATGCCATTCATGAACCATGTCGCGGCCATGCAGCAGGGACAGCAGCAAGTGCAGCAAGCAGGCAACGACATCAACCTCCAGTTCCTTTCGGGAGCGAGGAATCCTTCACCGCATGGGCAGGCAAATCTTGGGTTGCAGCAGCAGCAGCAGCAATCATCCTTGCAGCAGCAACAGTTGCCACCGTCGCAGCAAACACAAGTTGCGGCTCCAAGCACGGCGGCTTTGCAGCTGCCGCAGGGGAATCCCGCTTCAGGGTCACAGCCGGGGGGCTCAAACTCGCCTTTCCAGATTCCGCAGGTGGAGCCCGCTGAAGTGTCGCAGGAGCCTGAGAATGATGCTGTTGGACCCGAAGAGATGGCGAACATGGCATCGGGGAAGCCCACCGGCAAGAGCATCCTCAAAAGGCCCGCATCCTCCCAGACCGTTACCTCGAAGGCGAAGGCCAAACCCTCTGCCTCGAAGGCGAAGGCCAAACCCGCATCGAAGGCAAAGGCGAAAGCCGCAGCCAAGGCCTCAGAGAAGCAGAAGGCTTCCACCTTCGCCACGGCAAAGAAAGGCTGGAGAGTGGAGACACGATTCCGGCCTGATGGCTCCCACGACAGGTATTACCTAGCTCCGGACAAGAAACAGTTCCGGATTAGGCATGAGGCCGAGGCCTATGGGTTCGAGGGCTAGGCAGCTGCGAGCACAGGCAAAGTTTTGAAATGATTTGCCGTTGACAAAGGCTTGAAGGCTTTGCACCCGTGACATGATTTGCCGATGACTTGAAAATGCTTCGCACCCGTGCCATGGCAGCTGCATGCTGGTGCATGATATACCTGTCTATCCTGTACAATGGCATCTGTTAGCTCTGCTCGGGCAGGTGATGGCCTCCGTGTGCAAGGAGCTTGCCGCCAGGGTTTTTCCAATAACTTCTTCATGTGCTTATATACTTGCAAAACCCTAATAAACCGTATCTATAGAAACGATCTTTTCAACTAGACATCCTGTAAATGCCAGGTGTCCTCGAGCAACACCACCCGCCCCAAAAAAGCGCCGAAAACCTCAGGTATATATACCTTATATATAGGCCATGGGTTCTATACTATATGTATATACAGCCGTCATATCAGTATGGTTTCGGCTGGGAATGGAAACATATCTTGCGAGTTACTATCTATAGCTATAGGGATAATTCCTTGTATAAGGTTGTATTTGTGTCCTTATTAAACTTGCTTATTTCAGGAATCGTTCTGACTATGCCAAGAAAGTTATATGGAATGTATCGGCACATATTGTTTATACTGCCCCTCGTATACATATCTCGACACATGTTGACACATATCTGGCTTCTTCGAAATCGAGAGGCATAAATCCTTCATAAACCATGTGTCGTTACTAAAGTTGCTTGTTTCCATGGGTCCAGCATAGAAGTATCCAGATGTCTATAGCCGTCCTTCGTTACAAGCCCTCCTGTACATGGAGATGCACATGCACCGTACATCTGTCTGTTTCTGTCTGTGTATTCGTATATATATATATATGTACACAGATATGTGCATATATATATATATATATATGTATATGGATGGACACATGCATATATATATATATATATATATATATATATATATATATATGCATATATAAGGTTGTGTGCATGCACATGATGCAGTGTGTGTGGGTGCATATATTTATCATGCACTGTACCTCGTTATACGTATCGAGATTTTATTTACATTGTATACTCAGGTTGCTGGTTTTGCCGAACATCACTTTGTCAACATGAATTGGGATGGATATATATAGACACATGGGTCTACATCTGTGTACATATACACACATGCATGCACATATGTTGGTCGCTTCATACATATACTCAGGGAAGCAAAGGTCGAGACACAGCTGCATATATGCAAATGTGTGTATATATGTATCAATGTGTGTATGTACAGAAGTTTGTGTGTGATGCGGTTTTATATCTAAGGCGATATAGGGCATCTTCATCCATCGAATCATGGCCGTTATAGCTTCATGAATCCACGACATATTACTGATGTAGAATATGTGCATGAGGAAGAGTTCATGCATGTATTCAAATGCATACAGGGTGCAATGAATTTGCATGAATATACCGATAGATGAAAAAGCTTCCGTGCAGAAACACATCCATGCAGGATATGCATTGTGGGTGCAGTCCAGGCCGGGCCAGAAGTTTGTCCAGTTCCTATGTGTCGGACTGCCGTGGATGCCTGCTCGCATGTTCTCCGTTTAGAGTGAGATGCATATAGCAAGAGCCTTGATTGAAGTTTGGAGCCAGAGCTGGAATGTGCTTGTATGTCTGCAGTGCATGCCTGCATCGTCCGAATGTGTTTGCAGTGCTCGCCTTTTCAGGATCATCCCAAAGTTTTTGGCAAACAAGTCGTATAGGGGTCTATATATAGGGTTTATGTGTATAGGGTTTGTAGGGTTTAGGGGTCTCGGTTGGTGTGTAGGGTTTGTATGTTTTAATCAGGTTTTGTCCTACTTCTATATATGAGGATTATATAAGTTCATGCAGGAGACGACATAAGTATAGATTTTCCGCATGGGCTTGCAGGGCAATAGGCTCGCGAGTCCCTTGGAGCAGGGCTGTCGCTCGCTCCAACACAGACATGGCTTTGGATTTGAGCAAAGTCGGACGAAAGAGCTTTGTTTCACAATCCGGCATCGCCGAAGTCTTA